ATATATATATAGTGTAGGTGCCCTGGGCAATGACCAATTAATGGCCCCCCTCGGCTGTAATTGCATGTTATTCATTGTGAAATATCTTGATTATCAGATATAACTAAATGCATGCAATTTGCACCTTTATAGATTGTGTTAGTTGATCTATAACGGGCGATGGGCAAAGTAGCCTAATTTATGAAGTACGCATAAAACCTGTCTTTTTACTTGTACCAGATATGGGTGTCTTGTCATAAAATATTCTTAATACGACTGACTTTGTATTTAATGTGAATTTAATAAAAACATTGTAAGGTACTAATTATAACACTTCCATTGTACAGAAAGAGAGCAAAGAATATTTGCATTATCAAAGAACATTATCATTGACTCCAGTCTAGCCAGAGTTCAAACACTTTCAAAAACTCCCATTATAATCACTAAAGCCGTTTACGCTATGAAATAAATATCTTACTTGCATCTGTACACACATCTGCACTTTTCAGTCAGCCAGCGCGCACTGAACAAAACACTGGCGTTTCAGCATGACTCATCTGAACGCCTCTGATTGGCCATTGCATCTTGTGTGATTGGTTGTAATGAACAGCGCTCTAAAAAGGCATCTGTCTCTGGCTCAGCTCCAGCCAAAGCGCAAACGCAGGTTTGAATTTAGCAGCTGATGATGTGCCGCACTGAACGTTCGAATCACACCGGTGTGATCGCATCAAATATATAAAAAACTATTATTCGGCTATTTTTTTTGTCTTTTGAAAGCTGCATTTGAAATCCACTTGGCTCAAATATCTGAGGGGGCACGGCTGAAATTGCGTTACGGGAAGAGCGTGGTCTCATGCGTTAATCCGTCCTTGGTATATACATGACAAGCAAAATTGCATAAAATAATGAAAGAATATATCTTGAATTAAGTTTTTTTTTTTTTTAAACCTTTGGGAAATATTTTGTTCTGGTTTTAAGCATAAATATAACACAATTTAGTAAGGTTTGAACATGAAACAATAGGGACATTTTATTTTTTTAATTAAGTCACTGTGGGGTTAATGTGAGGAATTTATTTATTTTTTCACTTGGAATTGTGATCGATCTTCTGTAAACTATAAAACAGAAAATAAAATGGATTTTGCACTGAATACAGGGCAGCCCCGTTTACAGATTTAAGATTAGAGAGATTTAGTTCAAAACTAAGTCAAAATGTATGGCTCTAGCTTTAGCTCAACCCAGATTGTGGTGCTGCTATTGCCTTTTCATTGTTATTTGCTTTGGATAAAAGCATCTGCTAAATAATTCAGTGTAAATGTATCATGGCATGCTTGCCTGAATTTTGTGTCTAGGATGAGTGCATGTGTGCTGGTTTCAGTCTTGACTGGTGTTTTTCAGGTGGGGAATCTTGGCCTCCTCTTCATGCTGCTGTTCTTCATTTATGCTGCACTGGGGGTGGAATTGTTTGGAGAGCTGGGTAAACACATACTACTCATCTTTTACTCCTTTTTATGCTTATTTTCATTCCAAGCCCTTTCTTTCTCTACCTCACTGGTTTTCTGTCTGTTCAGTTCTTCTAAATTCAAAGCTGAATTTGGCATGACTGCATAGGTAACATTGAGACAAAACGTTTAGGTGATAAACATTCACAAAACTTAGTATTCAACAATACAAACTCTCTCTATGCCTCTATCTGTTCCCTGCAGTGTGCAACGAGGACTACCCATGTGAGGGCATGAGTCGGCACGCCACCTTTGAGAACTTCGGCATGGCGTTCCTCACCCTCTTCCAGGTCTCCACTGGTGACAACTGGAACGGCATAATGAAGGTACAGCAGAACAAAGAGCCATAGTACTATGAGCGTCACTGTGTTATAAAAAGTGAGGGGGACAGTTAGTAAACTTGTATTTATTTAGTTTGAAGGTTTTTAAAAGAACTCTTCTGCTCACCAAAGCTGTATTTGTATGATTAAAACATACATTAAAATTTTGAAATATTATTACAATTTAAAATAAATGTTTTCTATTTTAATATATTTTAAAATGTAATTTATTCCTATGATGGCAAAGCTGAATTTTCAGCATCATTACTCCAGTCTTCAGTGTAACCTGATCCTTCAGAAATTATTCTAATACGGTGATTTGCTGCTTAATATTTTTGTGGAAACCATGGTACATTTTTTTCAGGATTGTTTGAGGAATTGAAAATTCAAAAGAGCAGCATTTATTTGAAATAAACAAAATTGTAACATTATAATGTATGTATTTTCTGTCACTTTTAATCAGTTCAATGAATCACTGCTTAAAAGTATACATTTATTTTAAATAAATAAATAACTATAGAAATCTTACTGACCCCAAACCTTTTAACATTAGTTTAGGTACACAGATGACCAGAAATGGTGAATACTTAGCTAATGAATATTAATTATTCGGCGTATTCAGTGGCTAATATTTGACCATCATAGGCTCATGTCCATAAGCTGAACAGTTATTCTTGCTGCCCGATTCAAGAACTCAAAAAAGGTGACATATTTACAGTGGGGCAAAAAAGTATTTAGTCAGCCACCAATTGTGCAAGTTCTCCCACTTAAAAAGATGAGAGAGGCCTGTAATTTTCATCATAGGTATACCTCAACTATGAGAGACAAAATGAGAAAAAAAAATCCAGAAAATCACATTGTAGGATTTTTGAAGAATTAATTGGTAAATTCCTCGGTAAAATAAGTATTTGGTCACCTACAAACAAGCAAGATTTCTGGCTCTCACAGACCTGTAACTTCTTCTTTAAGAGGCTCCTCTGTCCTCCACTCGTTACCTGTATTAATGGCATCTGTTTGAACTTGTTATCAGTATAAAACAACCTGTCCACAACCTCAAACAGTCACACTCCAAACTCCACCATGGCCAAGACCAAAGAGCTGTCAAAGGACACCAGAAACAAAATTGTAGACCTGCACCAGGCTGGGAAGACTGAATCTGCAATAGGTAAGCAGCTTGGTGTGAAAAAATCAACTGTGGGAGCAATTATTAGAAAATGGAAGACATAAAAGACCACTGTCAAAGGACACCAGAAACAAAATTGTAGACCTGCACCAGGCTGGGAAGACTGAATCTGCAATAGGTTAGCAGCTTGGTGTGAAGAAATCAACTGTGGGAGCAATTATTAGAAAATGGAAGACATACAAGACCACTGATAATCTCCCTTGATCTGGGGCTCCACGCAAGATCTCACCCTGTGGGGTCAAAATGATCACAAGAACTGTGAGCAAAAATCCCAGAACCACATGGGGGGACCTAGTGAATGACCTGCAGAGAGCTGGGACCAAAGTAACAAAGGCTACCATCAGTAACACACTGCGCTGCCAGGGACTCAAATCCTGCAGTGCCAGACGTGTCCCCCTGTTTAAGCCAGTACATGTCCAGGCCTGTCTGAAGTTTGCTAGAGAGCATTTGGATGATCCAGAAGAGGATTGGGAGAATGTCATATGGTCAGATGAAACCAAAATAGAACTTTTTGGTAAAAACTCAACTTGAGGAGAAAGAATGCTGAGTTGCATCCAAAGACTACCATACCTACTGTGAAGCATGGGGGTGGAAATATCATGCTTTGGGGCTGTTTTTCTGCAAAGGGACCAGGACGACTGATCCGTGTAAACGAAAGCATGAATGGGGCCATGTATCGTGAGATTTTGAGTGAAAACCTCCTTCCATCAGCAAGGGCATTGAAGATGAAACGTGGCTGGGTCTTTTAGCATGACAATGATCCCAAACACACCGCCCGGGCAATGAAGGAGTGGCTTCGTAAGAAGCATTTCAAGGTCCTGGAGTGGCCTATCCAGTCTCCAGATCTCAACCCCATAGAAAATCTTTGGAGGGAGTTGAAAATCCGTGTTGCCCAGCGACAGCCCCAAAACATTACTGCTCTAGAGGAGATCTGCATGGAGGAATGGGCCAAAATACCAGCAACAGTGTGTGAAAACCTTGTGAAGACTTACAGAAAACGTTTGACCTCTGTCATTGCCAACAAAGGGTATATAACAAAGTATTGAGATGAAATTTTGTTATTGACCAAATACTTATTTTCCACCATAATTTGCAAATAAATTCTTTAAAAATCCTACAATGTGATTTTCTGGATTTTTTTTTCTCATTTTTCTCTCATAGTTGAGGTATACCTATGATGAAAATTACAGGCCTCTCTCATCTTATTAAGTGGGAGAACTTGCACAATTGGTGGCTGACTAAATACTTTTTATCCCCACTGTAAATGCAAGATTAACACTGTTGTTGCTGGGATTTTGTAGATTAGTGGATAAATGCATGGATCAGCAGTTCAAAACCAAATATGATTTAGATTTGAGTAGGAGGGGGTTCAAGAGGGGTTCAAGACATAAAAAACAGAGCCATAATTGCATTAGGCTTATAGTGTACCAGCAACAGGAATACATTTCTTTGCATTTTGTTTTATTGTTCCACCGTAAAAAAAAAAAAAAAAAAAGACAAGAGAACATTGCTGTTGTCACTTTCTGGGACTGAATAGAGCTGAAGCGACTGCTCAGCAAAATGTTAAAAATAACAAATTCTGATGCTGGATCTGCATTCATTATTGCACACAAAACAAAACCGAATGAAGTGAAAACTTGCTTCGTCTGTATTAGATATAACGCTGCCATTTCATAAAGTGATGAGATCCAAATCCGCCCTAGCAAAAGGTGCCCATCGTAAGTGACATCTATGAATAGTACCCACTTAAGCACAGAATACTCAACAGAAGAAGTTGACAGATTGCTTGTGGATGATATAACTAGACACTTTAGAAACATTCACAAGCAAGGCTTATGATTTCTAATGGTTCACCGCAGTAGCCAGGATAGGTTGCCATGAAGAGTCCTTTGAGGTAGCAGCTTGTAAATCTACAATAGTACAGTCTCTTCTCACCATCTTTCTGCAATCTTCTTGATCCCTCCTTTTGCTTTATACGGTATTACACCATAGCCTCTTTCATTATTGTTTCTCTCATCCTCCCTGTGCCTTTCTTGTCTCTAATACACTTGTCTTTGAGCAATGAGTTCTTATTGGCCTGTGTAAAGACAACCTGCCGCGTTTCATCTCCTCTCCCTCCAACCTGGAGTTTTTATGATAGGTATATGATGGAGGAACTACCAGCTCAGCAGATTCAGTAGTAGTAAAGCGCACCTGAATAAATGAGAACCCATTGGCGCGATATCGATGCATAACGCCCCGCACACACCAGAGAGTGTGTTTGATGGAGGGTGACAGGCTCTCCCCCCATTAGGCGCACACACAATGAGTTTTATGGTTGACGGAGGCTTGCAGTGGTTTCCTGGCAGCTAAAGCACCATAATCAGAGCTGTAAATTACAACCTGAGTTCTTACGTACCTGCAGAGAAGCCACCGCCTCCCCGAACCCCAACCACACGCATGAGTGGCCAAGCAAAATTACTGCCAGAGCCTGCACCCATCTGCCTCTCAGTCCCGACAGCTTTGGAGGGGGAAAAAAGAGAGTTTATGTTATATCAAAGTAAATTAGAATGAAATTGACATTGTGGGATTTGTTGTTCCTATAGCTCATGCTAATCAAACTGCAGATGATAAGAAGAGTAAGGGGAAGACAGTTGTCACACTAAGTACCTGTTATCTACTGCCAGGATGTCGAGGCCATGATAAATGGTTTTATCATTTAATGGGTAGTGTTTGATTGATGTAATTAGTATTATTTTCAGAAATGGGTGTCGTGTTCAGCGCATAACCAAATAGCTGTTAAACTACAGTTTTTTAAACAAGGAAATTTTGAGTTTGACATTTCAGACAAAATGTAAAAATTTCAGAATTATTTGAAGCTACATTTTTTTTATTCATTTAAAATACAGTTTTAATAAATTGTATTTAAAATTGAGATAAAAAAAAATAAAAAAGGTAATTGCGACTTGTATCTCACAATTTTATCTCACAAAAATGTCAGAATTGTGAGATATAAACTTGCAATTGCAAGCAATTACCTTTTTTTTAATTCCATGGTGGAAACTAACATAGCTAACATAGGTTATTGTATTGTATTTTGATTTTTATATATATATATATATATATATATATATATATATATATATACAGTATATATATATATAGAGAATATGTGAATTTAATTTAATTAGTTTTTCTTACTCCATTTGAACATAAACAATTTAAGTGTAAACACCACTTGTTAGGCTTATGATTTTAATAAGAATGAAAAATAATGCAAGTAAATGTCTTATTTTAAAGATTTTTTTTCTCTGGAAAACATGACAAAGAGGCTGGTGAAGAAATCAACTTATTACAATGCAGCTAATCTAGTGTAATGTCTCATAATTAGGTACCAAGTTTTCACCACATGACCAAATTTTTGTTAAATAAGTTCCACAAAAATAAATAAATAAATAAAAGTTTTATTATTGACGTATCAGACACAAAGCAAAAATGATTTAATAAGTGTTTTTGTCTTATTTCCCATATGAAATATAATAATTTTTTCAATTAAAATAATCTTAAAATAGTATTTTAAAAATTTTCATTTATTTTTACTTAAAAAATCTGATTAAGAAATGCTGATCCCTGCGGTCCACATATTTTACTCCATCAATGAAAATAGTTATAAAAGAAGTGTGATCAAGTGTTTTAATCCTGTATACCTGATTAATCCAGTCAGGGCCATCCTTAGCTGACGAGGTGCCCGGTGCGAGTTAGGAAGCTGTGGGGGGTGGGGTTGTGGACGGACCGTCCCCCTCGGTCCGTTCGCGATCGCGTTCCGGGGGAGGCGGGAGGTTGGTTGCCCCTCGCTCCGTTTGCGATCGCGTTCCTGGGGGGGGATGGTCCCCATCGGTCCGTTCGCCACGGGGCCCCCTCAAGCGTGGGGCCCGGGGTGACTGCACCAGTTACACCCCCCAAAAGACGGCCCTGAGTCCAGTCAAATTAATTGAACATAACTAACTGTTGTAGAAGTTCAAATATCTTTATTGTAACTCTCTCTTCACTCCTGTAGGACACTCTTCGAGAATGCCCGCCGGGCGAATACACCTGTAATCCCAGCCTACAATTCATCTCTCCGATGTACTTTGTGAGCTTTGTGCTCACGGCCCAGTTTGTTCTCATCAATGTGGTCGTGGCAGTGCTGATGAAACACCTAGATGACTCCAACAAAGAAGCCCAGGAGGAGGCAGAGATGGATGCGGAGATTGAACTGGAGCTGGCCCAGGGAACGCTCTGCTGCATCGGAGGAGGCGGGTCTGGAGCAGAGAGGAGCAGTGGGGGGCATCAAGGGGCTGGACCCTGCTCTACTCTTCCACCTCACTCCCCGAACACACACCCAGGTGCCCACGAGCCCAACAGCACCAGGAAACTCTACTCACCAGCCCAGGTACGACACACACACCCAGTGATGGCAGGGAATGGATGGATGGACTGATAAACAGATTATTGATGGAGGGATGCATTCATGAATATTATGATTCGGTTAGATGGTTGGATGAATAGATAAGAGATTGGGTTATTGAGCAATGGATTGATGAATTAATTATTTGGTTGAAAGTAAGAAAGGATAGATTGTCACTAAAATGCATCCATCATCCACGACTACTGGATGATGGATGCATTGTAGATATGCACGGATAGATTGTAGACAGAGGAATTTAGTGATTAAGAAAAGGTTTGACTTATGGATGACCACATTAATGATGGATACTGTAGATGTGATTGATGATTGGAGTGCTAATGGGACAGGTAGATTGACTGATTGTTAATGGAGGAATAAATTGGTGAATATGTGATTTGGTTGGATGTATCGCAAGGAGTGATTTAAAATCATGTTTATGGTATATACAGCATCACAATATTGATATATTTATGCTGTAAATTAAATCCCAAAATGTAAATTCACAATGTTAATAGGTCTACATTTTATTTATATATATTTAATAGGGGGTCTGCATTTTATATAACAATGTAAAAGTCTTCACTCTCACGTTTGATAAATGTAATGCATCCTTGCTGAATATTAATAATAATAAAAAGCAAGGATTCTGTTTCAAATAGATGCTGTTCTTTTGAATATTATATTTATCAAAAAATTGAGCATCACAACTTTTTTTCAACATTGATAATAATACGAAATGTTTCTTGAGCACCAATTCAGCATATTAGAAGGATTTCTGAAGGATCATGTGACACTGAAGACCGGAGTATTTTGCCATAACATGAATTATAGCAACACATAACAAAATTTGTAATAACAATCACATAAAATGTAATAATATTTCACAATATTACTATTTTTACTGTATTTTACTGTATACTGATCAAGTAAACACAGCCTTGGTGAGCAGATTTGCTTTAAAAAAATATTCATTTTATTTCACCTGCCAAGTACAAAAATATCTTATCAAAAATAACGCATTCTCACTTTTCCCATTTGCTTCTCTCAATCACAGTCAACTGTATATGATGGACACTTTCTATATACAGTCAAGTGACAAAAAATTTGCAGCATTTACGGTACTTTAGATTAATAGGGCGACACTGCTTAACCACAGACACATCTACCATATTCTCCCTTATAGCAGAATCTCTAGCTATTGTCACATTTCTACCATCATGTGGTATCTACAGTACCATCATACCTAGCCCTATATAGATGGATGAATGGATGGTTTTTTGAATATTCTGTATGAGTGTGCGTAGTGTCTGTAGTGTTTTGTAGCAATCATTTGTCTTAATGCATGGAAAAATGTTAGTGTCCTTTGCTCGTGAAGTTAGAGTATGATTTGGGTCTGCTAAAAAGGGCAAAAGCGGCATAAAAAGGGGGAAGGAGAAGCCACAGAATGAGACGTTTTCATTATAGAACCTCGGGACTCGCCTCAGCTTGGGTCATGTCGCCATGGCAACACATTGTGTCAGTCCGCAATGCTCTCTTAGATATGTAAACACTAAACTACATTAATCACCTTTTGTAATTAAGTTAAGGATCAAATGATTAACTGTTGATCCAAATCCACCAGGAAAGAAAAGTTCAGCATATGCATGACTGAACTGCTACAAACAGAATACTGACAAATGTTGTGGTGCACTCGCGCGCGCACACACACACACACATGCACGCGTGATGACTCACTGTCAGGCAGCTATTGTGGAGCTATAATTGTCTTTACCTCTCCATTTTTAGCTTCTGCAGCAGATTATGTAACTGCCGAGAGAAGAGGAAAAGAGAGAAGGAGGACAGAGAGAAAAAGGAACGGAATGCTAATTGAAGGGTTGAATTCATTGCAGTGTTAAGCACACAGATTCAGTAGTGAGCCTGGGTTTGTTTATGTACCTAGCGTTTGTGCACGCTCATGCATTCAGGTGTATATTGCCTTTACATAGCATAACATTCAAATTTACACTCTGAAGAAAAGATTTCAGATTGTTGTTGCAGTATTTTTATTTTATACAAATTGGAGTCAGAAACACTTAAGAATTGTTTTTTCTTCTTTTTTTAACAAATGGTCAGTGAAAGGAAGTGCATAACCTTCAGAAACTTTAATTGTAATTATATGAGCTGTTATATTTTCTATAAATTTTTATGTTTGCCATATAAGAAGTTTTAATATAATAAAATTAAATAAACTTAAAATTAAGTAGACAAATATACAGACAGACATGTCACTTTGTATAAAAACATTAATATATATATATATATTTTTTTTTTTTTTTTGATATAGAGACTAGCTAGCTAAATATTATATTATTCAAGTAAATTTTGCTTTTAATTTAATTTATGAAAAGTTTATTACTTTCACTTGTTTTTAAGTTTTGGTTTTTTTTACACAGTTTTGAAGGATGATATGTTGACCATCAACATACTTTGTAAAAACTGAGAAAATGTAATCAAATTATTTACTTGTCTTACCACCATTTCATACTATTTTTGACATAAATAAAACTGACATTTTATTTATAGACAGTTTTAAGAAATGTAACTTTGTTGTTATGGGAGGATGTAATATGATAACATTTAAAATGTGGGAAATGGTTAAATATGTATGTGTTTGGTAAATTTGAAAATGTTTGGTGTCCAATACTGTTCATGAAAAAAGTGCCATATCAGTCCAGATAGCTGTTGCTTTGAAGGTGTTGGTAATCGTTAAAGCAAATTCTTCCACGTAGAGGAATTTCCACTTAAACTTCCTTAGAAGTTTAGTCTAATGAATGGAGCTAAATAAGTCTCCAGAACTCTCAAAATACTTTTTTGATACCCTGATGTCTCATGTCTTCAGCTGTCGCAGTGCTGGCGCATGCGCTGAGCCCCAGTGCTGGTGTTAGTTTATTTGAATACAAAGATCCAAAGAGACAGATCACTGCCTGGAGGAAGAGATGTCCCATACCTGTTTTGGGTTTCGTCTCGATAGTGACAAACACACACAAATGCAATGGTGCACACAAACACCACAAACTAGACAGCCTTATCACTACCTGCAGGCTTGGGGTTTAGAGATGGAGAGGGGGAGACAAAGAGAGACACAGAGACAGGAAAGAGGTATGCATGACAGTCAGCAGAACAAGAATGGGAAAAACTAGTTTGACTTCAAGCAGAAGTCATGTCAGCAGACTGAAAGCATTTCATCTCCTCAGAGAGAGAGCAGAACGGAAGAAGGTTAGAGACACAAGGAATGCAAATATATCATTAATGAGCTTAAGTGTTGTATTCACATATGGTCAGCAGGAGAGTTCACAAAATGAATTATTCTGTTTTATATTGGATGGATATCCATAAATCCATAAATATTTTTACTACATATGTAGCATTTTCTTGTAATTTTATTTAGTTTACTATAACTCTAATTATGTTTTTTATAATGACTTTATATTTTTTTTTATTTTTATGTATTTTTGAATAATTGTATTTTTTTATTTGCTTCGCACTGTTCCTTATTTGTACTGTTCTTACTGTATTTATTCAAAGATAAACTGCTTTGGCAACTGATTTGGCAGTTCAAACGTACTGTTATTTGTTACATCGGTAAAGCTTGCTAAAACTGAGCAGCAGATTGTGAAAGAGAGGTTTACGTCCTGAGTTCAAGCACAGTTCAGTGTGTATTTATAATAGAACATATTTTAAATGCAGTGGGAAGTCATCTCCCACTCTAGACATCTCTTCTGAATTGTGCCTTGCTCACTGACACACTGACTGCAGAATTTCTGCTGAACAGCTCTTCTCATCCTCAAACACTTCAGCTTTTCTGGTCACACTGTATGCCATGGCCAAGAAAAGTAAGGTGATTTTCTGAGTCACATGGTGTGTCGAGTATGCGTTTTTGATTTTTACGGTATCCATGAAAAATGGGTAACAGAGCTTGTGCAACTCTATATAGGCTGTTCTTTTTTTCATGTTATTATGCCTTGTTTTGTTTTTTTTATATAACTTGGATGTAGGCTGTCAAACATACACAATTGTTAATCAGAGCAGTGAGCGTTTACTTCCAAGTCTACAATCCGCCTCGCCTATTCAAACAGTGTTCTGATGAGGGGGGTCAAAACAGGACAGAAAATTGCTTATTACTTCAAAATTATGTAAAAATTTTGATCACATTATAAGTGGAAGCCACAGAACAGTACAAAAAAATAGTACAAAAGTTCATGACCCCTTTAAAATTAATTGACTTCAAAGAAACTCAAACTGAAGTTTGTCAAGATACACTTTGAATGACTTGACAAAAACTTTGAAAAAAAAAGTTTTAAAACATTAAGTTTGAAGGATTATATGCAATAAATAACTAAAAAAGTTACAGAAAAAAAAATCTAATAAATGCTGTTCTTTTGCACTTTCTTTATCAAAGATTCCTGGACAAATAAAAGTATCACGGTTTGCCACTACAGGAATAAATGACATTTTAAAATACATTCAAATAGAAAACAGTTATTTTGAATTGTTATAATATTTCACATTATTATTGTTTTACTGTGTTTTTCAAATATCAGACAAATGCAGCCTTGGTGAGCATAAGAGACCTCTTTCAAAAACATAAAAAGGATGGATGGATAGATAGAACGTTCTACAGAGTTAACTCAGTGTGAGTTAATGTGTCAGTCTGGGAGGAAACAGCATGTACTGATTAGGTCCCCAGCAACACATAATTTTCCTCATGATCAGCATTGTGCAAAACCACAGTTGTAGTCAGCAGATGAGAAAGAGACGAACAGACTAGAGTCAGACTATGTCTTGTATCGCCTTGTATCGAGTTCACAGCCGTCTCTGCTTGATTCATCTACCTGTAAAACACAACCTTCAGAAAAGTGCAAAACCGGCAGATGCTGCTTTTCCTTGAATTCACACCTGTTTGCACCATGTGCTGAGTGATTTGCCACCGGGAAGCCGCCAGAAAGGAAAGCTCATTAAATGAGATGGTTTGGAGGTGTACACACTCTTGCGTTTCGATTTGTGGAGACCTGCGATTTGAGGAGCACTGAGGTAGCCAAATGCTGAGACACTGATACTCCTATATGTTGAAATGTCATTAAAACTACATCCCTGCCAATTATGCAACATTTCCCTGCTCCATCCGGCTGATACGAATTATGACCCACGCCGGCACAGGTGAGACTATAACACCCATAAATGTGGCACTCGTGCTCAGAGCCATATTGAAAATTATTGTTCTTGCACTACTGGCCGTGACTGCATTGCCCTGTGCATTGGCCACAACCAGACCCAAGCGGGCCATTATCTCTGTGGGTCATGGCTGGAACCATAAATTGGTTACTTAAACCTCTGGACTACAGAGAGGTGTGTGTGATCCTGTAACACTGGCCACTGCTAGGTGTTAATCTGCAGGGGATAATAGCAGCCTGTGAGTTGGTGTCAGGCCTTAATGGGTATGACATAGGTATTACAACGAGAAGGTGATTTATGAGGACATTTTCAGTGTCCCCGTAATTCAAAAGGCTTAAAAATAATTCAGAATGAGTTTTTTTGAAAATCTAAAAATTTTGCCCTGTGCATTGGCCACAACCAGACCCAAGCGGGCCATTATCTCTGTGGGTCATGGTTGGAACCATAAATTGGTTACTTAAACCTCTGGACTACAGAGAGGTGTGTGTGATCCTGTAACACTGGCCACTGCTAGGTGTTAATCTGCAGGGGATAATAGCAGCCTGTGAGTTGGTGTCAGGCCTTAAGTGTGAAGTCTTGCAGTCAAACTCATTAGAAGTGCTGAGGTTTGCTAGTGTTTGCAAGAGCTCTTAATGTAAAGGCTTTTGTTAGTCCTTTTTGTTGTATATGAGAGGTTGCTTGCTAATAGCCAAGTGCACTTCAAATTAGCAGGCAGGCCAGCCTGATCAATTTTCCTTCTCAGATTAGTCATTTCATCTTAATTGTTTATTCATGTAGGAAATCAAAAGCGTTTGGCTCTGGCAAGCTGGCGGTGACGCAAGGAGCGCAATTACCTCAAGAAATAAATTATTGTTATTAGATAACGCTACATTATGATTGTGTTGGATTGATCCTTCAGTTGACTGCTTCCTAAACTGCTCTGTTGGGTAAATTGAATATTGAATGGTCAGATCTTTATTCCCTTTCCCAGAAACGTATTTTGTTCTGGAATTGTACTTGCACAACATTTACTTTATCTTGATATTAGCATTGAGTGACGTGGCATTTATGAGGGAAGCTGAAATAGACGTTGATTGATGCAGGCGAAAGGTTTTTGTTTACGTGTTCAGTAGCCTCAAGTTGAGCCAAATTTCAAAAACTTTTAAGGTGCCTTAGACATGTTTTCGAGCTTTGTAACGCTTTAAATTTTTTCCACAAAGGATTTTGCTGAGCAGTACTCTGTGTGTGGAGCGTGTGACTGTGAAATGTGTGTGTATGTGTGTGTGTGTGTGTGTGTGTGTGTGAGTGAGGTGAGTTTTTTTTTTTTTGAGAAAGTAAAAATGCACAAAGTTTCCTGTAACGGGTAGGGTTAGGTGTAGGGTTGGTAGCACACAAAAGCACACACAGTTTGTGCAGTATAAAAATCATTACGCCTATGGAATGTCCCCACAATTCACAAAAACAAACCTGTGTGTGTGTGTGTGCATGTTTATGTGATTTATGAGGACACAAATTTGTATAATAACATGGGTATGACATAGGTATTACAACGAGAAGGTGATTTATGAGGACATTTTCAGTGTCCCCGTAATTCAAAAGGCTTAAAAATAATTCAGAATGAGTTTTTTTGAAAATCTAAAAATGCAGAAAGTTTCCTGTAAGGGGTAGGTTTAGGGGTAGGGTTGGTGTAGGGCAATAGAATATATGGTCTGTACAGTAGAAAAACCATTACGCCTATGGAGAGTCCCCATAAACCATAAAAACAAACCTGTGTGTGTGTGTGTGTGTGAGTACACAGGTGGGTAGGATGTTCTATTTTCTAGTGCAAAGACCATCTCTAAGTGTACTATCATGGATGCACAGTGTATCGGCACCATAATGGTTATCAGCCAATATTACAATATTTATATATATTTGAAAATACGGTGGATCACTTTTTATTATTTGCCCTTCATCAGCCATAACATTATCAGCTTATTGTATCATATTGTGCATCCCTATTAGATATACTTTAATACATCCAATTGTTAGAAGAATTAACAATTGTTTAATACATCCTCTTGTATAGAATTACAGTTCTGAACTGCTCAGACTTAGTGTGCTCCCTCATCAGAGATTTTGGAAAAGTGTTCCCAGATCCCCAAATCCCAGTCGATGGCTCTGCACTTATTTTACTGTGTTATTAACTCTGATGATATGTGTTTGTATCCCAGGAGAACTTGTGGCTGGACAGTGTATCGCTGCTTATCAAAGATTCATTTGAAGGGGAGATGCTGATGATTGACAACCTCTCTGGCTCCGTCTTCCATCATTACTCCTCCCCACCCATCTGCAAGGACTGCAGGACTCATCCGCAAGAGGTACACTGGAGCTTAAGCCTTGAGTTTAAGAACTCTAACCTTAAAAACTAACCTACATCCAAATCTTCACAATTGAATAGAGAATGGCTTTTAAATTCAGTTTTAACTTAGCAAACATGATGTAATTTGAATTTAAAGATATACAATTCAAATGAATTGGAATTTAAAAAAAAATCAAATGACTAAATGTTATCTTGAAAGCAGTTTAAAAAGCATTGAAGTTTGAAAATGTATAAGCCTTACAGATAGATAGGTAAATAGATGATAGCTGAATCTATGGTTATGATTTTTATTTTAAATGAATGGTCATTTAAATGTTTAAATAATCCTGATTTCTGAAGGATCATGTGACTGGAGTAATGACTGCTGAAATTTCAACTTTGCATCACAGGAATAAATTACATTTTCAAATATATTACAATAATAGATAGATAGATGTTATTTTACTATAGCACAACATTTAATATACACACACAAAATCTCTCAATGCTTGTGTTCCATCACAGTGCCGGACAGGACAGGGGTGGTTCAGGAAAGAAGTAATTCAAGCCGTAACCTCCATACCTGTCATCCCGCCATTCTGCCAGGCTGCCAACAATGTCAGTCCATCAGTCTGTTTCCACTCCCCTGTCTCTGCTCTCCATACATCTCTGATTTGCAAGCTTTTCTCTCCCACTCACTCTGTTTGACTCTAAACATCGCTCTTCTTGAATTACCCAAATTTCTTCTTTGGAAAGTCATCATCAGGTTGTCAGACATAAACCATGCTGTCCATAACAATTCAAGTCTCTTTTGACAGTTTTATCACTCAAACTACGTTCAACACTGTGCAAACTCCACAAAACCGTTAAACTGGCATAAGTAAAAGTCTGCAGAAATTCAAATACTGGGGAAGGATTCCAATGATTAAAAGCCCTCTCAATTCTCACTGCTATAAATTCTTGCCCACAGCAGATCCACATGGCTGAACTGGAGCAGGCATCTCTGAGGTCGGAGCAGCTCTCAGATAAGTCATCCTCACCAGCGCTGCCTGATGACCTCAGCCTGGACGAGCAGAGCGTGTACCAGATGTCTGCCAAAGAGGGCAAGGTGAACTTTCTCTCAGAAAAAATATTTTGTCGTTTTTGAATTCTTCACCCCCACAATTATCTTAGTATCTACATTCTGAAATGTTCAAATCTAATTAAAAGGTATGCACTCGTCAGGATTCATGCTAATATCTGTATTTATTATCGATGATTATTGATAATTGCTTTCATGCTACGGCCAATAACTATCAGTAACAGTAACAGATGAAAACTCTGCCCAATGGAAATGATCTACCTCTATCTGATATATAAACTGCTGTAATCCCTTACATCTCAAACAATGATCCTTTAATTAAATATAATCAGTGAGAATGACCACAGACTCGCACTAATTAGACTTAAGAAATCAAATAACTATAAGCTGTTAGTCTAAATCTTGCAGTCTCATGGGGAATGTAGCTCTGCTCAACCAGTGTAATTCTTTAACAGACTTTAAACATCTCTTGCTATTTGTTAGAGAAACTCCATAAAGACAGTATGTGGGGCAGATGGCTCCGATGATCTAGCAGAGCTTAATCGTTCCTTAATCCCTTTTATTGTTATAGAGGGAAGCCCTTAATGCAGAGAACCTAAAAGAGTTAGGTTTACCATGAAAGTAAGATGTTAGCGTTTAAGAGACCTTTAAGTCTCCCCAGGATCCTGAAAGTGCATGCTAATGTTTCTGCTCAGGAAAGGGGCTGTGATGAGTGCCTAAACACTGAAGAACCTGGAGGGAGAGGTCACAGCAGGTTACGGCGACCCTCTCGGGTTCACAGCTCTGGGACAGAAGAGGGGGTGGCAGTGAATGGAGCCAGTTCTCAAAGTCCACATCACAACACACCTGCTCGTCACAGCATAGGTAATGTGGCACACAGTCCACAGTGCTACAGGAATGATACTGGAGAACAAAGCAAGAAAACCGTTGTGCACATTAGTTGCGCAAAGTTCAGAATTGAAAAACTGTGTCCCTTTCCAAATAAGATTTTGAATTGAACACTAGAAAAACAGTTGATCTAACTTAAAAAAGGGATTACATTAAATTTGTTGCGTTAACTCAACTAACAACTGAAAACTTTGAAAAGATTGTTTGGCATTTACCAATGCAGTGAGCTACAAACCTTGTTCTTTTATCATTATATTGACATGACATGGGACTCTTAAAACTAGAGGCAAACATATTACACATCGCTCTAACGTCAACAAATTAAATTACCATCAGCATAAATTAAGACAGTAAAATGAATTAAATTAGATATTAAATTAAATTAACAAAGTAAAATAAATTAAGCCAATGGCATTTTTTAATAATAGTTACCATGTAATTATTTCAATTTGCTGGGGACTTGCAAATCATTTTTATTTGTGACTCAATTTGGAAAGTTCGGATAACATTTGAACAGGTTTTGAACAAATACTTGAGTATCTAAACATGTTGCCAGCAACTTTTTTTAGCAACATGTCCTTAAATTCAAACTCAAATCTGCATCCTCTTTGCCACCTCAGTTTAAATTCAATTCAAATCGAGTAACTGAGTTTGTGTGCAGGTGGAGTTCCCAGCAGTAATCAGGAATACCCAGGGGTTTCTGGAGCCTCAAGCCGTTCTACCACTCCCATCCATCTCATTGCTGAATTCTTCCACCCAGCTGCTGCGGCCCTCCCGGCACCCCCGAGAGGCCGACCGGGACACAAACCAAGAGGGCTCCGGCTAACTTCCCCAGCCTCATGGGCATCTCTACGCTCTCCTGGAGCAAACACCAGGCTGCTCACCACACAGGTTTGATTTACACGCGTTTACAACTTATGCATTGTGTCATTATCAATTCATTGCTAAAAACTCGACCTCTCTGCCCTCAGTATTCATCTCACAGTGACTCCTCCCTGGCTACGGGCAGCTCAGAGAGCAGCCTACCAACCACCATGGAAGAAGGGCTCAGTTTCACCACCCAGCCACTGCTGGACACACTCCTTGACGATCGCTCCAGCCTCTCCACAAAGACCCTGAGACCCAGCCCTCCAGCCGCCCAGAACCTCCAAACTATGAGGGGGCACCAGCGCAGCAAGAGCAGTTGTGAAAGGGACATTAATGCAGGAAGAACTCGGCAAGACTCCGATGAGGATGTAGGGATGGTACGGTGCGGTTCTAACCAGACTTGCGACAGCCAACAGCTCTCCGAGACACCGAGCAGCCTGTCGCTCACATCGCTGCTTCTGCCGAGCTCTCTAGCGCCCCCGTTTGTGAAAAAGTGCAACAGCACAGGTAGCTTAGACCAGGGGATTCTCACAACCCAAGAAAATGTGTTCATAAAAGAGCCACAGGGTAAAATCACCAGCCCCTGGAAAGAAAGGAAAGAAGGAAGAAGAGAGAGTCAGTCGGAGGCAGCACAAGGAAAAGACGGGGAAAGTACAAGCCAAATAACAATTGTGGGCTCTAGAAGAAATAGATGAAACTTTACCTAATGTTAGTTATTTCTAAGGCCCAATACTCAATCTCTGTTATTTTTTTCAGGGAGCAGTTTGACATGTGGCATTCCATCTTAAAGTCTTTCTCTCTCTATCTCCCTGTTTTCATTTGTGACCTGTTACCATTTTGTATTTGCTTGTGGTAAACGTCCGACAGGACTGGAGAGAAACTGGAGAGAGAGACCTGAGAGCAGTTTGGCCCCTTAGAGCATGACTAGACAGAAGGGGACTGTTCAGACAGCTGCCTGAACAATCAGGTCAAGAGACGACATACAGTACAGGAAAAGCTTTCCATATGCTGGAATGCTAGTTTTCTTAAATGTTAGTTAAAAAGGGGAAAAAAAGATAAACCCGAAAGTATATATAGAGGAACTGAAAAGATAAAGAGATACAGAAAAATATACAGTAAAAGATATTTCTTCTCTAAAAGAGGGCATGTTTGGTTTAATGATTTAATGCAGTTACATTACAAGGAAGAGTTTAGGATTTTAACTCTTTCAGTATACACATACTTTTTTTACTGTTTTTTTCATTCTCTTGTCATTTAGTTTGTTTGTATTTGTGTGTTTCTACGACATTGAGGAGAGAGAACAGTGTTCCTCATTCAACCTGAAGCAAAGCATTCATTTAGAGAGTGTCCAAACTTAATGAGAAGAAGTCAGACATCCATCTATCCATCTATCTATCTATCTATCTATCTGCAAGTCTATCATCTCATTTGTAATTTTATTTATTTATTTATTCATTCAGAGTTATATATTTATTTATTCAGGTTTATTTAAATTATTGTTTATATATTTAATTAAAGGGCAAATGTAGAAATATGTAATTTTTGCATTAGGAGATGAAAAAAATGCATATGGACACAAGGACAAAGAACAGTCCTCTGCATGATGGAGTCTCTTTACAACATAACAACTACTGAAGATGTCAATGCTGGAAGAAAGCAGTGAGGTTTTTACTCACATATTTTTTTATTGATATGCTCTGGATCAAGGAATAGGTGACGCACATTGTTGTGGTCACTTTTCTCCTCCCCACAACCCAAAAACATGTCTCTATGTGACTTTATTCCCTGCAAGTGGCTTCCATTTTTATAATTTTAGTTAGGTGGAGGGGACTTTTTGTATGCTGGGGGAAAAAGAAACGAACACACACACAAAAAAAAGGAAGAAAAATTGAAAAAAAAAAAAGAAATACCATCCTAAGGATTTTAGACTGTGGATTACATGAACTCTTGAATATAGAATACAGCCAGAGACAAAGGATGATAAACAGGCCGTGGGAATTAAATGCTTTTTCAAGAACCCTGGAGCCTCTGCTTTATTTTGGTCTTCGGATGGCATGTCAGATGAGGAAAACACAAGACGGTGATATTTAGCTTTCATTTTGACAAAACTAGGTTGATTGGATTTGCAACTGAATCAATTATTTATACATTCATTTTCTTAAGCATGGTTACTGGACTGCAATAGGACACCTCTGATTTATTATTCCTCCTCTTTGAAAAAATGCACTGGTTTGCTCTTTATTTCATTTAGCTTAGACTTGGTCACTGTATTCATGTGCAAATGGAGCAACTCTAGATATGACACTGCAAATATCTCCAGATATCTTAGTTTAGTCTGCTGTAGTGTTTAGCACCCCTGATGTTTTTTTTGTTTTGTTAGTTTTTTCTTTTAGAATTTTCAGGTGAATATCACATGTAGACTTGACCTGTTGATGAACTTCATTGTCATTTGATTTGTAGTGACTCTCCATCTGTGACATCGGGGTCTCTACACATTACATCAGGTGTGTTGTGGTTTAGTCTTGACCCAAGATTGTCATTTTATTCTTGCCTGTTTCATTCATAGAGCCACCGTTTTGAAATGAGAAACACTGAAGTATTAAAGTTTAATCAGCAAAACACAATAACAAAGGGCTTACTTGGTTTCCAAGGTGTTCTTGGATCTCACAAGACTTTTTGCTAATAGTGTGCAAGACTTTAAAGGTTAGTCTGACACTACAGCAATAAAGAGTAGCTTTGTGTGCCCCAAATATACATAATGATGTCTTTTTTCTTTTCTTTTCAAGTAGATTATTTGCCCTTGTTTACTAAGTAACAATACCTGCACAACTTGAGGGCTGATCAGATGGGCTAATAGATGGGCTGCCAATGGTTCAGATGAACAAATTAAGTCATTTTGAACTCAGGGCCTTGGTAAATACCACTACTGAACGCTCTGTTTCCTCAGGGAAACAGATGGCCGGAAAAAGGAGGACTGTATGTTAAATGTTAATGTTCATTTGATTTGACTTTACATTTAATGCTCTAATAAGCTTGCGTCAGTGCACTGCCATTATAGCAGAATATGAGTGGAGGCCAGTTTTATTAAAGTAACAGGTAAACTGAAAGCTAATTCATAGCCATTGATGTATAGTTTGAAAGTGTATGTAGCTTAAAGAAAAATCTGACAATGCATTTAAGGACGGATGCATATATTTTGTGTATGTACGTGTGGTGTTAAATGGTCTAGAGTAATGGGTGAGATTTTATACAAAACTCGATGTGTCTTGTCACTGGGTTGAACATATGTACATATCCTTTTATATAATCAAATTGCATGTGTGCTATTACCAATGACAATGATACATGCATTTTAGAGTGGTTGAGGCTTAGGTTTTTTTTTTTTTTTTTTTCTCACCCTGAGGTCTTCCTGAAATTGTGTTAATGTAAACTTAATTTCCTTTTGGTTTATTGATGAGACTATATTTCCCATGAGACAGCTGTGGTCATGTGCAATTTAGGTTTGAACTGTCCTCAGTGCTAGCTTAGATCCCTTATTGCACAGTTCTGGTCCTCGTATCTGATTTGGCTGTGCAGCGTTCAATGAATGCTGATATATTGCCTTTAGGACTACATTTTCACTGTTGAAATGACTCCATGATGGTTTTGTGGTGTTCCAGATCAGAGTATGTGAGCGGTGTGGAGTGGAAGTGGGATTTGTTTGTTTTGTGTGAGCAGGAAGAGGGAAATGCAAAAAAAAAAAACACTTGAAGTGGAGCTTAAAAACCTGGCTTGATTACGGTGTGCTCTCTGTGGTCACTCCATTATACTCACTTCCTCTCTTCTGTTGTATGTATGTTTGTTTGCAACACACAATGCTTGATGACTGGGCTTTTTTAGAAGTGTTTTATAAAGGAAAAAAAATTGAAAGTCGAGTCCTTGATTTTTAAAGGGATAGTTCACCCAAAAATTCTGTCATCAGTTACTTCTTATTTTAAATCTTGTATGACTTGCTTTCTCATGTGAAATGCAAAAGAAGATATTTTGAAAATATCTCTTTCATTGTCCATACAGTGAAACTCAATGGGGACAGAGTTTGGACAGAGTTCAACAGTCTGTCTCCGGAAGTAAAAATCCCATTCATTATCTCCATAGAGGAAATTGATTTTTAATGATAAATTATAAATCTTTTAAAACAGACAGGCCTACTGTGATCTGCGAGTTTAATCGATGGTATATGCTTTTGTTGAAGCCTTCAGTTAGTGTCATTTCAACTTATTTGTTTAATAATCATGTTTAACATCAGAATTTGTGATGAAAAACTATATTATCCATGATTCTGAAAAGAGAGTCCCCCCACTCTCATTAAGTAATTTAAATGGTGTAATAGTCTCTACACTCTCAAACTACTTTAATATTGTATATGCATGTATATTTTGCATGCATGTATAGTTTCTATATACAATCAACACATACAAGTCAATAGATTTATATTTATCTGTTGTTTTTAATTCAGTCATTCACAATGCGTTATGGGATTGTAGTTCTTTTCTTTACTGAAGTCCTTACACCTTTGTCTTTTTGTCCGATTGTCTGATACTTTTTTGCTTCAAAATAAAGTTGTCATGTTGTGATTTACCTCATAGCTGATTGTTTTGGTTCATGGCTTATAACTCTTTACTAGAGATGTTTTAAAAATCCTTATGGAAAAATGAATGGGAAAAATACTTCCAGAACCAAGGCTGCTGAAAGTGAGTAGACATTGTTGCACTCTGTTGACTCTTAAATTATCTTGTTTTGTGAATGACCTTTTTTTTGGTAAACTATGCCTTTAATTTCTTGCGCTGATATTCAGTGCAGCATGCTTATGTGATATTGCTTAATTTGGATATTTATAAGTAAAATACATTGATTTGCCCCTCTAAAAGAAGCAATAAACTCGTAGCATAATCCTTGAGAAAATGAAGATGGGTGGAAAAAGACAGGAGAGGATCTGACAGTAGACACGCTACTAGTGCTTTGGCATGCTTGTGTGGTCGGTCAAAAAGCTCTGAAGTGGAAACTCATGGGAGAAGTGTTGTTTCTCCACACCTAAACCATCTCTCCCCTCCAGCTATCTGTCCTTTAAATGTCAGCTGCTCTGCTGTTCCAAGTCCTGTCCACATGCTTGCAGGGCCATGGTGTCGCCAGCCTCGGGAATCTTGGGATGCAGCCTTTCACACCACTGTACAAATCAAGTCAAAATCATTTATTTTATCATGTGAAGTCAAAATATTTCATTTGATCATGTAAAATGAAGGGATGATCTTTGGCTGAGCACTAAATTGCCCTCTGAAAGAGTAGCGTTTCTGTAGCTGCAGTTTTTTGTCTTATATGTTAGTACCTGGTAAGTTCTGGAGGTCGTATGCTTTATATTTGACACGTATGCGCTCTTATCTAATCATTACAGCTTTGGAGAGTGTCGGTTAGATGTATAGAGAACCTCTGACATCAGTGTTTTATCTAGAGCTTGAGTAATTACTCTCCCCGTCTGACTGGAATAAAGCAAGCGCTAATCGCTACAGAAGTCATAAGGTAAAAATAAAGGCGATCCTCCCACTTAATGACAAAAAAGGATCTTCAGTAATGACCAGGGCACCTCTAAGAGGACAATGAGATGGATACCCTTGTAGCACATTGCATGGCTTTAAATGTGTCATTATTCTGTACCTTTCCGTTTTTTTAAATGAAAAGAAAGAAAGATGAAATGGTTAAAGTTACTTCTAGGTGTTGTAAATTTGGACTAAATTGCAGCTTGTTGTGAAATCTCAAGTGTAGTTCTGAGTAGGTGTGTTTGATTCTCTCTCTTTTCCCTCTCTCATTTGGTTTGTTTGGCAATCACTAAATCAAGACACTGGCTCTCCATCATCACAGAGCAGAGCACTTCACACACCTGAAATATGATACCCTATACACAAATACACACAAACAACAGTTTCATCAAGGTGACACAAAGTAAATTCTGCTCGGATTTGGTTACTTAAACTCCACCGCATTGGTGCCGATAACAAAAAAAAATGAAGAGCAAAAGAGATAAAAGACAAAAACACCATAAACATCCTGTGACAACAGGAACAAAGGCTGAGAGTTATCTGATGTGCCTGTCAATCTGCTCTATTAGAAGCAATACTGATACCTGCCTCTCAACTGGTGGCCTGCAGTTATGACCCTATATGCTAACTGCAAATAATAACATACAATATATATATTCTAGTTAGAACTGTAAAAAAAGAGGGAAAATATAAATAGTTTGCATATATTTTGTTGTTGACCTCAAAGTATGTGTATTCATATCAGCATCTTGGTAGAAGGAAACTGATGCTGGTAGCCATGAGGATTTCAAGATCAGAAACAAAGATTGT